GAGAGGAGCCAGTTGAGGTGGCTCGGGCATCTGGTTAGGATGCCTCCTGGACGTCTCCCTGGTGAGGTGTTCCAGGCACGTCCCACCAGCAGGGAGACCCAGGACACCCTGGAGGGACTATGTTTCTCGGCTGGCCTGGGAGCGCCTTGGGATTTCCCCGGAGGAGCTGGCCCAAGTGGCTGGAGAGAGGGACATCTGGGTGTAAATCAGTATGAACCAGTTTAAACCAATGTGAACCAATGTGAATGAGTGTGAACCAACATGAACCAGTGTGAACCAATATGAACCAGTGTGAACCAATATGAACCAGTGTGAACCAATATGAAACAGTTTAAACCAATGTGAACCAATGTGAATGAGTGTGAACCAACGTGAACCAGTGTGAACCAATATGAACTAGTGTGAACCAATATGAAACAGTTTAAACCAATGTGAACCAATGTGAATGAGTGTGAACCAACGTGAACCACTGTGAACCAATATGAACCAGTGTGAACCAATATGAAACAGTTTAAACCAATGTGAACCAATGTGAACAAGTGTGAACCAGAGATGGGAAATGTGGAGTCAACAAGTCATCTCCATGTCATGTATTTAATCTACCCAGCCAATTAACCAGGTGAGTCCAATCTGCACAGGTTGATTCACGGTGAAGATTGGACTCACCTGCTTCAGTGGCTGGGTAGAACAAATGACATGACATGGAGATGACTTGTTGACTCCACATTTCCCATCTCTAGAGTGAACCAGGGTGAACCAGTGTGAACCAATGTGAACCAGGGTGAACCAGTGTGAACCAATGTGAACCAGTGTGAACCAATATGAACCAGTGTGAACCAATATGAAACAGTTTAAACCAATGTGAACCAATGTGAACCAATGTTAACCAGTGTGAACCAATGTGAACAAGTGTGAACCAGAGATGGGCAATGTGGAGTCAACAAGTCATCTCCATGTCATGTATTGGTTCTACCCAGCCAATTAACCAGGTGAGTCCAATCTGCACAGGTTAATTCACGGTGAAGATTGGACTCACCTGCTTCAGTAGCTGGGTAGAACAAATACATGACTTGTTGACTCCACATTGCCCATCTCTAGTGTGAACCAGGGTGAACCAGTGTGAACCAGTGTGAACCAATGTGAACCATTGTGAACCAATGTGAACAAGTGTTTACCAATGTGAATCAGTTTGAACCAATGTAATTGAGTGTGAACCAGTGTGAACTAGTTTCAACCAATTTGAACCTACGTGAACCAGTGTGAACCAATGTGAACCGGTGTGAACCGATGTGAACCAGTGTGAATGAGTGTGAACCAGTGTGAACCAACGTGAATCAATGTGAACCAGTGTGAACCAATGTGAAACAATGTGAACCAGTGTGAACAGATGTAAACCAGTGTGAATGTGTAAAGTGCTCAGTAGGAAAGTGCAGAGGTGGAAACTGTTCAGAAATGTTTAAGTGTCTTGGAGATGTGACAGAAAGAGTATTTAGCTGAAATGGAGAGAGCCTGAGCACCAGCACAGCACCAGCAGTATGCCTTACCCAGCTGCACCAAACAGGGCGTTGCTGTGGGGGGAGGGGAGCCCCTTACTCTTGCAAATATTGTCTTGTTTTGGCTTTTTAACAGCGCCTCAATCTGATTTTCTTTTATTGACCTTTTTTCTTCTCCTGATTATCAAAGCCTGTTTTTTCTTTGTTGATTAATCAGTCGTTTTGTCTCTCCTTCAGGTCCATCACCACATCTTACTACCGTAACTCTGTTGGGGGACTGCTAGTCTTTGACCTCACTAACCGCAAGACCTTTGACCACGTCAAAGAATGGCATAAGGAGGTGAGTGAGCACATCCTGCCTCACCACATGGTCTATATCCTCATCGGCCACAAGAGCGACCTCCAGAAGGACCGCAAGGTGAGCCGGGATGAAGCGGAGCAGCTGGCTGCTGAGCTGGGGATCCGCTACATCGAGACGTCGGCTAAATGCAACAGCAACGTGGACCGCGCCTTCGAGCTGCTGACCAGAGATATCTACGAGCTCATGAAGATGGGCGAGATTGTTACCCGCGATGGTTGGGATGGTGTGAAAAGTGGCCTCACTGCTAAGGTCCTCTACCCTGGTGATGAAGAAGAGGAACTCACCACTGCTTCGGCTGAGAAGGGCTGCCATTGCTAACTCTATAAACTCTTCCTACTGAGGGACCCCCCCCACCATGTCACAGCTGTCCGTGATAACCTGCACCCTGTGGTCGCTCTTCTTTTCCTCCTTTGCAGATTGTGCACTTGTCAGTCTCATTGCAGGTGGGATCTAATAATCCATGCAGTGAAGCAGCTAAACCCAAGGTTAAACAAACAGAAACCACTCCTTTGCCCTCTCACTGCAGAAGCAAATGAACATTTGCCATCTGGTGATGATGAAATACCCCCACTGCAATATGGTCCATTCCCTCCTATTGGTGTTAGCACTGATGCCAGACCGCTTCAGAACTTTAACTGGTTTATAAATACTGTCAGAAACAGAGAATATCTGTAGTTAAGATGTTTAGATAGAGACCATTGTTCCAACGATTAGTGGTTCCAGTTCATTTACCTGTAAATAACATTAGTTACAAAATGTGCACTAAAGGTGTTGATGTCTCCACTATAATTATTTGACAAGGTGAAAAGAAAAAAACTTGATTTCAATCTGCAGCTTTTTGTTGCTTCCTCAACCATTTGTTGATTTAATGGATGTTTGTAAAACTGTCACACAAACACCTTAGATATTTAAACCACTGCTATACTTTGAAAGATGCTTTTAATAAGCTGGACGGTTGACTGAGGAACTTTGGTCCGTTATTGTTGTCCTGACTCACTGTATTTAAGGCTATGATGTACCGTGGCAAAAACTGTTTAGTGACATCATGCAATATGTTGGTTTAATGACATCATGTTTGCAATCATCTTCATTTCATAGAAATGCAGCAGCCTGAAATCTGAACTCACAGCAAACCAAACAGTTACCGATTCCTCTGCAAAGCTAGCATCACAGTCTGTAAAACGCTAAATAGATGAGCTAATTAGTATAATGCTAAATGCTAAAACACCTGTTCACCATCAGGCCGGAAAAGAACCTAGTTTTATTTGCTGTGACCACAGAATAACTGAAAATAGATGGCTAATAAACAACCGGCATTCAGTGAGATCCTGATGGCCGGAACGTTTAGTTCACTTAATCCACCAGATTAATTAGTTCAGCTATTAGCTGATTCATTAGCTTTCAATGGGTTTTTATGCAAGTATGAAGCATACGCAGCATTGCAGAGATCAAGAGTGATGAGTTTAATGGTTGTGTTTTTGGACTGTGGGAAAGAACCAGGGTACCAGGAGAGAACAAGGGTACCAGGAGAGAACCAGGGTACCAGGAGGGAACCAGGGTACCAGGAGAGAACAAGGGTACCAGGAGAGAAATGTTGGGTGGGTGTCTTTTCAGCGGGAGCCTCGATTCTGGACTGAATAAATGAACATTTCTACTGAAATGTGCAACTATCAGAATAACATCCTGCTGAAAAATTAGAAAATCACATCATAACTGCAATGGAGCCTCTCTCCACGCAGGAACGATGATGATAAGTGTGAATAAAAAAAGTTTCAGGGAAGATGGATCTACTTTAACTGGAGAAATGCATTTCTTTTAGCATAAGTTTACTGTCCTCTAATATGCTGGATTAAACAATAAAAATGTACTTTGCCATTCATCTGTCTTCCTCTCCTACTCAGTTTTTACCAGCATCTCATCACTCATCACCGACCCCACATTCATCCAGGTTATAGAGATTAATACAGATTAATGCAGGATTATGAACCTGCATTATGTCTGCAATAAAGAGTTGCACAGATTTTTAGATTAATTCTGCCCATGACTGAACCACAGGGGAAGCTTTTATTCTTTGCTCTCACGATCAGATTTACTTTAACTTATATTTTTAATCATGTGAAGTATTTAATATGTCTTCAGTGCAGGGAAAGTCTTTATTTTAGTGGTGCTCTGCTTTGAGATGAAAGAAATGTATCTGACTAAGTTCCAGTCTTTTCCACCCGTCTGTCTCCAACGTTTTAGTCAAAGATGGCCGACTTGTTTAGTTGGAAAAATAAAGATGATTTAAACATTCTTTTTGAAAGAGTGCTTTGTTGTTGTTGTTTCTTATCAAATGCTTCTGTTACCAAAGAAATTAAAACAAAGATTAGGATTGAAATGTTTGCAATGTTTTCAGTTCCCACTGCCACTACCAGCTGATTGATCCCGGGTTTAAACAGGTTTTAATTTAAAGTGCTGTGATTTTATGTTCTATTCTATTCCCAGCCAGCTGGGAATTTATATTTCTGATACTTTAAGATGTTTATTGCCCTCCCCAGTAGGGGAGGGCAATAGATATTATTCAGCTGTTATATACTGTTTATGACACACAGTCCTACTAACTGTGTGTTAGAACAATAAATGAAAGAGTGATTCCAGCTCTAATCATGGTCACTGCATTATGTATCGCAAAGAAAACTATCCTCATGAATTGGAAAAGTAAGGATAAACTCAACATCAATCAGTTCAGAGATCTGTTGTTGGATCATTTTAATCCTGAGACAGCATCTGCATCCCCATCAGACCGATCTCTCTGGGCTCCTTTGATCGGCTCCATCACTTAGTGTAGTGGGAGGCTGTGGGGCGCGTCCTGCGGGGTGCGGGGGCTGGTTCGGGGGTCCTTTGGTCCTCGGGGGCTCAGGGGGCGCTCGGTGTGGGGTGCCTGGCGGGTCTGAAACTCCCATCAGGGCGAGGCTTGGGACGCCTCTGGGCATCCTACAGCGGCCTCTTGCGGTGCCCCCGGGGATTGCTTGTGGAGGACGTGAGCTACTGGCCTGGTAGCTGGGCTGGGTGGGTCTGGGGTCCCTGGGGCAGGTTGCCCTCGGGCAGGTGCCCCGTTGGGGGTTCGGGTTCTGTGGGAAGTGCTGCTCGGGGTCTGGGCCGCTGGGGGGCCTCGGGCACTGTTTGGCTTGGGGGGGGTGGGGTTAGAAGGGCTTCGAGTCTGGCTCCCTGTCTCGGGCCTGGTCCATGCCGTCCCCTGGTGGGGGCTTCGTCCGGGGTGGGGTTTCTGCATGGTGCGTGTGGGCTGGCCGACCAGAGTTGTCTTCTCCTCCTTTTTTTTTGGATGGACAGGATGGGTGGGGGGGGCATTGTCGGCCCTGTGGCCGGCTGGCTTGTGGGCCCTGCTGCTGGTCCCTGGCCCCCGGGCTAAGGTGGTGCGATTGATGGTGCTCTCGGGGAACGGGGGTGCCTATTGGAGTCAGTGGGGGAGCTGGCTCCCTGGCAGTGCAGTACGCACCCCAGTTCTTTGGTCCCCATCCCTGGAATCCTCCCTCTGCCTGCTCCATCACACTGCCACACATGTAGGTTCTTGGGGAGGGGGTCGTTACTGGAGGGTCCCAGATTCGGATGACGTCCCCCACCCCAATTTTATTTTGCATTTTAGACACTTCCATCTAAAACATTTTCACAACACACATCTATGTTGGGCATTTTCTGGGGGGTGGGGGTCAAAGGCACCGAGGGGGGGGCTTACTTCATGGGCCTCACCACGGTCGGCTCCCCCATCCCCTCTCGCATTTAGACATTGTTGGTTCTGGGTTGTCAATGGGGGGGTGTGCTGGCACCGCCTGTCTTCCAGAGGGGGGGTAAAATGTGCCGGACACCCCCTTTTGGTACTCCCACTTTTAATTACATCTGAGAGAAACACCACATTGGAGCAGGCGCAGGGAGGATTGGGCTCTTCTCACACCCCTGTTCCCCGGCTGCCGCCCAGAGTCTGGGGCCTGGAGGAAGAGCGAGCCGCCTGGTCTGTGGTTTTGGCGTGGGGCAGCTGTGGGGTCTGGAAGGCCTGCTGGTGGCGGGGCTGTCACCTCTGCTCTCCCCAAAGAAGGTTGGAGGGAGAGGCGTGTAGTGGCTGGGTGAATTAGTTAGGGGGAATTATTGGATGTGAGTGTTATGTGTGAATTTGAGTCCCACTCACACCACACAGACTCTGTGTGGTGTGAGTGGGGCACTAGGGTAGGAAGGCGTGATTGCGACTGTGAGTTTTTTTTTTTTCTCTTCCAGGTTGGGGTCTGAACTGCCCCCTCTCCCAAGCACATCTCAAGCTCCAAGTGCGGAGCCCATTCCCCCCGTCCTGCTCTCCCTCCTCTGGCTGGTGCCTGGTGGAGCTCGAGATTCTATCCTGGCTTCTCTTCATTGGCTTCCTGTTAAATCCAGAATAGAATTTAAAATCCTCCTTCTCACATATAAAGCCTTAAATGGCCAAGCTCCATCTGATATCAGAGATCTGATTGTTCCTTATGTTCCTAACAGAGCACTTCGCTCTCAATCTGCAGGTTTACTAGTGGTTCCTAGAATTTCTAAAAGTAGAATGGGAGGCAGATCTTTTAGTTCTCAGGCTCCTCTCCTGTGGAACCAACTAGCAGTTTTAGTCCGTGAGGCAGACACCCTGTCTACTTTTAAGGCTAGGCTTAAAACTTTCCTTTTTGATAAAGCTTCTAGTTGAGGAAATATTTATGCTGCCCAGCTGGCTGCGCCTCAAACGGTTCCTTTTTTTCTATTATTCTGTTGTTTTGTTTTTAGTTTTTTTAAGAATTAAACCAGGATTAATCCAGGCTTTATTGAGCCTATTGTGTCTGTAAATAAGACAGAGGCTAAACAGCCAGAAAGCTCCCAGAGCTGAGAATGAAGCTTTATGAATCCGACCAGGCAACAGGAAACACCATCAGATGTTAGCAGCAGCTAAACGCTGGCAGATGTTTAACAGGATCTTCACAGTAAATAACTGCCTCTGTTCCTCCTCCTTCATCATGGAAAGAGATGATCCACAGCTCAGTATATAAATACATATACATGCAAAATGAAAAACATTATTATTTATTTCCTAATTAATGCTAATTGTAAAATAAAATGGCCTCCAGATGTTTCTATTGAACCCTGGACAGCTGCAGTGCATTGGGTCCATCATGCAGCAGCCTGGATTCAAATCTGTGTCAATATAAAAACAGTGTAGTTATATTTTTATAATCAGATTAAATTACAACCATTAAAAGACATCTAGTAATTTGGATCATTCTGACGAGCCGCTTGAAGCAGCAATATAAAAAAATACTTGTTTTATTGTCATTTCATGTCCAGATTAATGAAAAACAGGCTCTCAGGTCCTGACTCCAAAAGTTCAAAGCCCCACGGCTCTGGAAGAGTTGGAGCTAAAGGTCTGAAATGTTCTGCAGTTGTGGTTGACATGATGTAGAGCAAATGAGACCTGCTTTTTCTCAAGCATGACTTTATTACTGCTGTTCAAAAAAGACCTATCACTTTCAAGAAGAAAAGAACACCTTTGAGTCATGTTTGAACTGATGCAGCTTGGTCTGCTTTTACTCTAGTTGACAGAAACTAGAAGCTGTTAGCTTTCAAATTACGCATCACAATCTGGGTTTACAGTTCCTCAGTTAATTGCTTTTCCATCTGGGTTTGCAAAATAGGTGAGGATTAGGCTACTTCAAAGTGAGAGGGATGTTAAGAGGTTAATAAAGTTATAGTGAAGGGCCCAATATCAATGTCTTTCCTGGCCCATTCCATCATCTATACATTTTGTTTGGGTTTTGCTAGCTATAAATTACAGTGCTGCTGTTAAGCTAATAAATGTAGCATTAAAAATTAGCCTGTTTGAACCACAGCCAATCAGAAGCACCTAGAATAACCTGCTCATTATTAGAGGGCAAAATTACATTAAATCAACATTGTGTCAATACTTTAAGTCTATTTGTTTTATGGAGTTTATCTAAAAACTAAAAACCATATTGATCCTATATGCTGGCGTCACTTTGTTTCTCCTATTTTTTATTTATTCATTATGCTCTTATTCCACTTTCCTTCAATTCAAATCCCATCAACCAATAGGATCTCAGCAGTGATGACGGGTTTCCTTTACCTACCCATCATGCTGTTCGCGTGTTTCCCTACATTCAGAAAATAATGATAATTATGTTGCTGATTTGAGGTTCAAAACAAAATCACAAAAGTGAAAAAGTTGATCATAAAGTTTAACGTCACTCATCTTCACAGGAAACTACTGCAAAGGAAAAACAGAGATAAAAACCGTGAGTGAGAAAGGGAGCAGCCGAGCTCATAACCAGCCCAGTTTAATCTGCTAGCTTTAAAAAGGGCTTCTGCTGTGATTGGCACAGAGGTGTCAGGTGACCTGGCGTCTTTGCGGAATCGCTATCAAGAGATTTCGGAAGCACAATTTTTATAAACCGAGGCTGCTGGTAACCGGAAGTTCTAGCGCCTCATCATCCCGGTTCAAATCAAAGTAGAGATAGAAACACATCGCTGATCCAGTTATAAAAGGAATAAAGCAGAGCATTCTAGTAACGCAGCTCTGTGTTTGCGCTCCTCAGGTTAACATGATCTCATTAAATCATCAAACGCCGCCGAACATGAGTATGTTCTATGATGGGTCTAGATCTATGTTATATAGACATTAGATGAATAGATATGGGAGTAGATGAGTAAATTTCTGACATGGTTGCTTCTTTGCGGCCAGCGCTGTTAAACAGGAAGTAGTGCTACAACAGGCCAGTGCGCATGCGCCGGAGCTCCTAGCATCTAGGGCCGTTTGTCTTCATTAAACGGTAAGGACGGGCCTTTTCTCCTCTCTCTGACTCTAGGTAGCAGCTACCGCTCACCGCCGGCCGCTCCAGCTCCACTCACGGAGCTTTGAGCCGCGGGGCTCCGCTTGACTCGCGGCAGGGTTCAGCCAGCCAGCCTCGCGCAGAATGGAGGGGCAACGCCGCCGTCGTCGCGCCGTTGTTTGCCGTACGTGCCGCCGCACAGGGAGACGTCATTTTGAGGGGGAGCGGAGAGTTAAAAAGCAGAGTTACGAAGGGACGTACGGTTCATAGACAGGCGGCACGCAGCCGTCACACTTTAACCGCTCAGCTTGATCGGTGCAGCGGCTCCTCCAGCCTGCCCTCCTCCAGGAGCTGTAATGGCTGCCGGAGGAGGGGAGCTGTACAGCTGCCTTTACGGCCCCAGGAGCTGTAAAGGCAGCTGTAATGGAACATGGAGGTTAGGAGGAGGAACATGGAGGTTTGGAGGAGGAACAAGGAGGTTATGAGGAGGAACATGGAGGTTAGGAGGAGGAACATGGGGGTTATGAGGAGGAAC